CCCCTACCCCCACCCCCACCCCACCGCTGACCACTCACCTTCCCTGTCACAGCCACGAACTTTAGTGCATTCCTCCACCTTCTCTTTGGTCTGTTCCTTGCAGCGCATGAAAACCGGTTGGTTGACTGTGACCCCTAAGAGGAAGCAAAGTACTTGTTCTGTAACAGACAGCACAGAGGAGAAATGCAGCTAGGACCTGGGATGCAGCACAGACCTTAAGGCCCCCAAGAACACGAGCCTGTAGGGAAGGCAAGTGCAGGCTGCAGGCCCGAGCCCTGTTGCCTAAGCTCTATGCTCTCAGCCCTGAACAAGATGGAGAAGAGCAGCGTGCTCAGCAAGCACCTTGACGTTTCCCCGGGAAGAACAGTATCGTGTGGGATAGGGACATGCTACATGTTGAGAAGAAGCTGGGGCAGAGAAAGTAACCGGGAGACACCCAGGCTTGTCTGAACCCAGACCTTCCTATTACCTAGGCCCGTCATCCTGATGTAGTTCCTTTTCATATACACGTAGGCACTTTTCTGCCATTTGGTCAGCTTTGCCCACTCTTCCTCAGAGAAGTATGTAGAAATATCCTGGATAGCCTAGAAAAGAAAGAAATACAAATTCTGGCAACTACTCTGCTGCACACGTGTACCATTCATCCCAGAATACCTCTGTGTTGGAGAACCTCGGTAGTCCATCCAGAAAATCAAGATGATTGATCCTTGGAAATGTGAGGGTCAAGTGAGAGATGTGAATGACAGCCATTTCCCAATTACAGTGGAAATGCTCAGTGCTGGTTATTAGTTCTCCCCCCCACCACCACTTACAAGGAGCTAAGTGTCATCCAAATGCATTTAGTACTAGATCACCAATCTCAAGTCTTCAGGGACGCTGGAACAGGACTTATTGAGTGCTCACACGAGTGCGTGCGTGCGTGCGTGCGTGCGTGCGTGCGTGCGTGCGTGCGTGCGGAGAGACATCCTGAGACTTATGGAGGTCCTGTGGAGACTTTCTCCTTGTCCTGAGTGCCTCTGGTTTCTACCTTCTGAGAAATCTTTCTACCGTGGCCCTTGGTCACCCAGCTGCTTCTGCCCACCCACTGACTGATGACCTCACCTCAGTTATGTTCTTTGGCTCACGAGTCTCTTCCACAGAGCTCTTTACGCAGGAACTCACTGTTTTCATGTCGGTAGGATTAATAGGATTTTGAAAAGACACCATCTAATTTTCTTTCAGCAAATGTCCTGTGAAGGAAGGAGCATGTATGAAGTTAAATGGAGTCTCCAAGAATGGGTCAAGCTTCTGTCCTGATTGTTTGCCCTGGGATGTTCATTGAGATTAAGAGCGAAGAGAAAGATAGTGAATTGGACAAGCACAGAGACATGTTCTCAGCCATATGAGGAAGGTGAAAACCGATTTCATAGAAGGTAAGAATAAAACAATTGTCACTGGAAGATGGGTGGTGGGCAGTACAGAAAAAGGAGGTACAACAAACACCCAGTACAGGTAGAGAGGAAGGATAGCTGCTAGGATTTTGCAGTACACTTTAGTGACTGCAGCTTATAGCTCCATAGGGTGAATTTGTGAGGAAGGGAGAGGGAAGCCACAGGTCCAGTCCTATGCCTGTAATAGAAGATAGTTGGGAGGCTGAGGTAGCAGGATCCTATGTTCAAAGCCTGCCTGAGCTACAAAGTGAGACTGGGACCAGGCTGGGCAATACGTAGTTAAATCCTGTAGGATTCCTTCCTACCTACCATGTAAGAGGCCCTTGCATTCATTTCCCAGTTTTGCCAGAAAATAGTAGAAGACATGATGAATACATAAGGACAGAGAAATATGAATTACCCATATTTGATAAGCACACACATATGTGTATCTTGAACCACCATACTAGATTTTAATTGTGTATGCACTATTGTTGTCTATCAATTAAAATAAATCATGAACAAAACTCAGAACAGATTCTCTTAGGAAGTGAACACCTGTGTTCCTAGCACTTGGGATAATGAGATAGGGAGATGGGGAGAGTTCAAGGCCATCCTGTAGTACATATAAGAGACTGTCTCAGAAACAGAAAAGCAGTGTGAAAACGAACATGTCTGTGTTAGTGAGGCAGCAAAGAGACTGCAAAATAGGTTTTCCTCTTTCATTACATTTTTATTTAGAGTGTATGTGCATGTGTGCCCATGACCCCCATGCCATGATAAGTCTCTGGAGATCAGAGAACACCGTACAGGAGTCTCTTCTCCCTTCTACCATGTGGATCCTGACTATCAAACTTAGGCTGGGTGCCTGGCACCCAACAAAATAAGAATGCTCTCCTCTTTATTAAGCTGTTTTCCTCTGTAAATGTCTTTTTATCATTTATTAGCTTTTGTGGTTAGATTTCAAAAGATGGCTTTCATGCTGATCTACTCATACATGTATCCCATTATACTTTTCTCTTTTTTTAAGCCAATAGAAGTCTTATTATAGGCCGGGCGGTGGTGGCACACGCCTTTAATCCCAGCACTCGGGAGGCAGAGCCAGGTGGATCTCTGTGAGTTCGAGGCCAGGCTGGGCTACCAAGTGAGCTCCAGGAAAGGCGCAAAGCTACACAGAGAAACCCTGTCTCGAAAAACCAAAAAAAAAAAAAAAAGTCTTATTAGCAGGTGTCGACTACACTGGGTCCAGGATCCCAGTATATACCCAAGCCTTTCTCAGGGTGAGCTTTTTTTTAAAATTTTTATTTATTTATTTATTTATTTATTTATTTATTTATTTATTTATTTATTTATTTATTTGAATTTTCTATCCCTTTTACATACCAACCACAGATTCCCCTGTCCTCCCCAACCCACCCCCCATTCCCACCTCCTCCAAGGCAAGGCCTCCCATGGGGAGTCAGCAGAACCTGGAACACTCAGCTGAGGCAGGTCCAAGCCCCTCCCCCCTGCACCAAGGCTGCACAAGGTGTCCCACCATAGATACTGGGCTCCAAAAAGCCGGCTCATGCACCGGGGATGGATCCTGATGCCACTGCCTGGGGGCCCCCTAAACAGTTGAAGCTAAACAACTGTCTCATCTGTATTTCACCTCCCTGCTCCTCCCCTGTAGTCTCTCTTCCAGCTTTAGATACTTTCTTAACTTCCCACTATTAATACCCTTCATAGCCTCAAGGCTATTAGGTACATATTGGTAAATGTAGACTTTTCATGCTGAAGACAACCTTAGATAGTTATGGTTCTTTTTTTCAGTTTCAGTCACTTGCTCACCTCTCAACCCAGCAGAATTTTTTCCTTCAGCAGTAAATAAATGCTTTAACCTTTTATTTTTATTTTAAAAAAATTAACAGACACAATAAAGTTTTAAATAAAAGACACATTTCTGGGAACCTGCTGAAATTTAAATCCATATGTCTACATTATTACTGACTCAATTTTTTCCCTGAAGATAATGGTATGGACATGATGCTAAGCTGACAGAGAAACTCTGGACTCAAGTAATTCCCCTGTATCATCCTACTAAGTAATTTAGATTGCTGCTTTATGGTACAGTGTCCTGTGACATGTGTACATATTCTGAGATAAAGTTGGTGAGGGAATTGCCTCTGGTTTAATGGTCTCCCCAACTCATGATTTTCAGAGGTCAACGAAAGAACCAACTGTCATGCAGAGTAAATCTGATGTGTCTCAAGGTACTGGAGTCTGACCTCACACTCAAGTCATCAGAAAAGTTTAGTGAGTAGACACTGAGGTATCTCTGGGACCATGAAGACTGCAGCTTTATCTAAGAGGCAGTTGGGAAGTAGCTCTCTAACGGAGACTATTTGGTGACATTGAGGATGGAGGAAATCTCAGGCACATAGGTAATTTCAAAGTTTGTGAAGCTAAGAGACATACTACTGCTTCCCTTAGAAATAGTGTGACATGAGTCTGTCAGATAGTTATAGTTTCTAGGATCCTTGAGGAGTTTCCCAGTAAGGGTTTAGCTCAAAGCCCAGTCCTAAGCGTTAAAGAGAGCTGAAGACACAGGAAAGGCACAAGTACTTGGCTGGTCTACACAGGCTCTTAACTTTTCTATCCGCTCCCATTTAACTTATGGGGGCATCCCACAGAAAGAACCTACCTCACACAGGAGGAGATGAAGGAGTGTTTCTCCAGAGAGAGATTCAGCTGAGCCTAGAGGATCAGCCAACTGCCTCAGGAAAGTGGACACGGCAACTAAGGTGAGAAGCAGTGTGGGGTCCCAGAGTTCCGGAACAGTAATACATCACAAGTGGCAAGGGGAGGGGCTCCCACCTAAGATGACATCATCAGCCATGGCACTGGCCACGCCAGGACCAGCTGCCCTGTTGAGATGTACATTTCTAGAGTATGTCTGGACTAGATTGTACCCTCTACTGTGCGGTTCTTCATCTAAAAAATGGCTTACCATTTCAAATCCTCCTCAGTACTCCTTAATCAGTCTAACTGGGATCTCTCTACAATAAACTAATAACATGTCAACTATTTATTAAGGAAATTATTAAAATTGAGATTATTCCTACATATGCTATTTCCCCAAAGACCCAGGAGCTTGCTTTCTATTAATATTCTTAGGAATAATAGTGCACAGTGTGCACGGAATTACAGTTTATTGTACTCTTTAAGGGGTTCCCAAGTGCTTCTGTTAGGAAGGTTTCTCTAATAGTGTGTGTGTCTCTCTCTTAAAAACATAAAAGAACACAAACATGAAAATTAAAATAAAGAAGAAAACAATAAGGTAAAAATGCCAAAACAAAATGAAACATTCCCCCAAAGAAAAACCCCATAGAGTTCATTTTATGTTGGCCAACTACTTACTTCACAGTATGGGGCCCGCCCTGGAGTGTGGTTGATACACCCAGTGACAACCCATTGGAGAAAACTGATTTTCCCTTTGCCAGAAGATATCAATTGCAAATAGCTTTTTGGTTTGGTTGGGTTGGGTGTCCACTTTTTCCTCCAAGTGCTGAGATCCCATCTGACTTGGACTTGTGCAGGTCTTGTGTATGCCTCAATCTCTGTGAGTATGAATGTACATCAATTCTGTTGGGTCTAGAAGACATCATTTTCTTGGACTCATTCATCACCTCTGACTCTTACATTTTTCCACCTCCTCTTCTGCATAGATCCATGAGCTTTGAGAGGAGAACCTGAGGAAGACATGCCATTTAGAATTGAGTGCTCCAAAGTCTGTCTCACTCACTGCACATTTTCTAGTTGTGGCTGTCTGTGCTAATTCACATAGAATGTAAGAAGTATCTCTAAAGAGCGTTGAGACACTAATCTATGGGTATAGTGGTATGTCATTAGGAGTCATTTATTTCTATGTTCCTTTAGCAAAATAATAATATTAGGTTTTCCCCTAGGCCCATGACCTATCTAGCCTCAGGTTTTTGACCACTTAGCAGTGTCAGTATGGATTTCTACACTCCCTCCATCCACTCCTCAGAAAGGGTAAAGCCTCCTATGGGAGTCAACAGCACCCATGGCATATCAAGTTGAGGCAGAACTAAGCTCCAACCCCCTGCATCAAGGCTGAGCGAGGCATCCCATCATAGGGAATAGGTTCCAAAAAGTCAGCTTATATGCCAGGGACAAGTCCTGGTCCCTGCTAGGGACCCCACAAACAGACCAAGCTACACAACTGTCTCCCACATTCAGAGGGCCTAGGTCAGTCCCATGCAGGCTTCTTAGTTGACAGTCTAGAGTCTGTGTGCTCCCACAAGCTTGGGTCAGCTGTCTCTGTGGGTTTCCCCATCATGAACTTGAACCCCCTAGCTCCTACAATCCTTTCTCCCTCCCCCTCTTCAAGAGGACTCCTGGAGCTCGGCCCAATGCTTGGCTGCGGATCTCTGCATCTGCTTCCATCAGTTACTGGATGAAGGCTCTATGATGACAGTTAGGGTAGTCACCAATCTGATCCTAGGGTAGGCCAGTTCAGGCACCCTCTTCACTATTGCTAGTGGTCTAAGCTGGGGTCATCCTTGTGGATTCCTGGGAACCTCCCTAGCTCCCTGTTTCTCCTATACACATGCTGTCTCCCTCTATCATGGTATCTCTTTTATTGCTCTCCCACTCCGTCTCTGTTCCAGCTCGACCATCCCATTCCCTTATGTTCTCATCCCCCATCCCCTACTCTCTATTGCCCACACCTCATCCCCAGTTTACTCATGGAAACTTCCCAGGGTGGTCCACGCATTCCTCTTAGAGTTCTCCTTGTTTGCTAGCTTCTCTGGAGCTGTGGGTTGTGGTCTGGTTATGCTTTGCTTTACATCTAGTATCCACTTATGAGTGAGTACATACTATGTTTGTCCTTCTGATTCTGGGTTACCTCACTCAGGATCATATTTTCTAGTTCCATACATTTGCCTGCAAATTTCATGATGTCATTGTTTTTCTCTGCCGAGTAGTACTCCATTATGTATATGTACCACATTTACTTTATCCATTTTTCAGTTGAAGGGCATCTAGGTTGTTTCCAGGTCCTGGCTATTACAAATAATGCTGCTATGAACATAGTTGAGCATGTGTCCTTGTCGTATGATTGAGCATTCCTTGGGGATATGCCCAAGAGTGGTATAGCTGGGTCTTAAGGTAGATTGACTCCCAATTTTCTGAGAAACCACCATACTGATTTCCAAAGTGCCTATACAAGTTTACACTCCCACCATCAGTGAAGCAGTGTTCCCCTTGCTCCGCATCCTATCCAACATAAGCTGTCCTCAGAGTTTTTGATCTTAGCCATTCTGATGGGTGTAAGATGATATCTCAGAGTCGTTTTGATTTGCATTTCCATGATGACTAAGGATGTTGAGCAATTCCTTGAATGTCTTTTGGCCACTTGAGATTCTTCTATTGAGAATTCTCTGTTTAGCTCTGTAGCCCATTTTTTAATTGGTTTGTTTGGTATTTTGATGTCTAGTTTCTTGAATTCTTTAAATATTTTGGAGATCAGCCCTCTGTCAGATGTGGGGTTGGTAAAGATCTTTTCTCATTTTGTAGGCTGTCGTTTTGTCTTATTTACTGTGTCCTTTGCCTTATAGAAGCTTCTCAGTATCAGGAGGTCCTATTTATTAATTGTTGCTCTCAGTGTCTGTGCTACTAGTGTTATATTTTGGAAGTGGTCTACTGTGCCAATGCATTCAAGGCTACTTCCTACTTCCTATTCTATCAGGTTCAGAGTAACTGGATTTATGTTGAGGCCTTCGATCCACTTGGACTTGAGTTTTGCGCATGGCGATAGATATGGGTTTGTTTGCAGTCTTCTACATGTTGACATCCAGTTATACCAGCATCTTTGTCGAAGATGCTTTCTTTTTTTCCATTGTACAGTTTTGGCTTCTTTGTCAAAAATAGGTTTGTGGATTAATGTCAGGGTCTTCAGTTTGATTCCTTTGGTTCACATGTCAGTTTTTATACCAATACCAAACTCTTTTGATAACTATAGCTCTATAGTAGAGCTTAAGGTCAGGCATGGTGATGCCTCCAGAAGTTGCTTTATTGTACAGGATTGTTTTAGCTATCCTGGGTTTGTTTGTTTTTCCATATGAAGTTGAGTATTGTTCTTTCCAGGTCTGTGAAGAATTGTGTTTGGATTTTGATGGGGATTGCATTGAATCTGTAGATTGCTTTTGGTAAGATTGCTATTTTTACTATGTTAATCCTACCTATCCATAAGCATGGGAGATCTTTCCATTTCCTGATATCTTCTTTAATTTCTTTCTTCAGAGACTTAAAGTTCTTGTCATACAGGTCCTTCACTTGCTTAGTTAGAGTTACCCCAAGGTATTTTATATTACTTGTGGCTATTGTAGAAAGTGATGTTTCTCTGATTTCTTTCTCAGCCCGTTTATCATTTGTATATAGGAGGGCTACTATTGGTTGTAGTATTAAGGCAACTCCACATAGTTAAAAGGGAGATATATTTTGTGGGGTAACTTACAAGTCAAGGGATAGGTTACAGGGTCAGAGAAAGGTGTAGCACAGTTCAGCAGTGTTCTCTGGAGAACTCTGCTCAATCTACCTCCCATATCCAGGATCCAGGAACCAAGAGAGCCAGCACATCCGGATCTCAGGTAGGAATGTATAGTGCAATATGCAATATGACAATAATCCTAAATAATCCTAAACAGAGGTAGAACATACATACAGTATGACAGATATAAATTTACATTTGTATCAGTATACAAAATATTTCAAATAAGAGTAGAAATATATGTATATTACAACAAATATAGTTCTGTATTTGTATCAATATACAGATTATCTTAAACAGGAATAAAAAAATAGTTCACATTTGTATCAATATATAAGAATCCATAGCAATGCAAATTATCTAAGGCTGCTATTTTACTAAATTTGTTTACTAGTATATACAATAATCTACCTTAATATCTTATATCTATTCATTCTACTTTTTCTGTTCTTTCTTTTTGTTTGGTTTTTTGTTTTGTTTGGTTTTTTGAGACACTTTTTCTTTTCTTAAGGAGAATACTGGGTCTAATATTTTCTTCCACCCCCAACCCTATAACCATCATCCATAACCCTGAGAAACATGAAACTTTTGGGAAAATGGGCATCGTCTTCTTAGAATTGCTTCCTGCTGTTTAGGGGATGATGGTATCTCTGTTGGGGTCTGTAAGAAAGCTCAGATAGTTAGGTCTCAGTTAGACTAGCTATAGATTCTGCAGCCACAACTGATTTTTTTTTGAGTTAATCTTGTATCCTGCCACATTACTGGAGGAATTTATCAGCTGTAGGAGGTCCCTGGTAGAATTTGGGGGAGGGGGTCACTTATATATACTATCATATCATCTGCAAATAGTGAAAGTTTGACTACTTCCTTTCCAATTTGAATCCCCTTGATCTTTTTTTGTTGTCTTATTGCTCTAGCTAGAACTTCAAGTACTATATTGAATATATATGGGGAGAGTAGCAGCCTTGTCTTGTTCCTGATTTTAGTGGAATCGCTTTGCATTCCTCTCCATTTACTTTGATGTTGGCTGTTGGCTTGCTGTAAGTTGCATTTATTATGTTTAGGTGTCCCAGCCAGTGGGATCTTCAGCAGAGACCCTAGAAGGGGGATTGGGGAATTAAAGGGACAAGAGACACAAAGAATTGACAGCACGACAGTATTCTGATCAAGCTGCAAACTTTTATTTTTCTCAGGTGGGTTTTATAGTAAGGAAACTTTCTTTGGGAA